GGATTGCAGGTGGGCAGGTCTGGGCACTGTTGTCTGTTCTCTGGTGCACAGGGCTTGAAGATGGCAGAGCTGTAGAGGAGGAGATACCGTCTGGCAAATGGACTCTGTTCAAGATACAATAAACATGATGTACGGCCAATTTCTGGTGCTGTGTGGGCTCAGAGGAAACCGCCTACCCTGTTTCCCCCAATATAAGACCTAGTACTATTTTTGGGAATTTGCCAAAATTATAAGACCTTCCCCGAATATAAGACCCAGTTGTGACCATTGCCAGGGCCTGTGTTGGCATAAGGGGGGAACCTGAAGAGCCGCAGGGGAGAATCAGCGGTGCCAATGAATGGAAAGGTGCGGCCCCCCCCCTGATCGCCCCGATCACCCGATTCCTAACTTTGCCATTTTGGATTATTTAATTTGGATTTGCGTTAACTGTGGATTGTTGTACATTAAAAAAAATAATAAGACCTACCCCGAAAATAAGACCTAGTGTGTTGTTTTTTTTTGAGCCCCCAAAAATATAAGACAGTGTCTTATTTTCGGGGGAAACACGGTACACGTAAAAAAAATATCCGGCCTAATGAGACTGAAGATGGGGGGGGAGGGGGGCCTGCAGTGCTGTAACTTCCACAGGATTGCCTATTAATTGGGCTTCAGCCTGGGGTGGAGCGGACAGTCAGCACAAGCAGACCTCCAGATATACTTTTATTGCACAACATGGCCACAGATCAGAATGGGATCACGTGCTACATGCGCTCGGTCCCCCGGGAGGTCCAACAAGAAGTTCTGATGGTATTTCTTCTTCATACACAGTAGAGACATAACTATGCAACGTAAGAGATTCATTGTACATGACGTGAACGTATAAAATGTCTGCTTCCTGTGTGTGCGCGGAGTGCAGCGGTATCGGGGGTCAGTAAACATGCGTTTTATCTATCCTCCCAGGAACAGGAAATCTTGAAGGTTGTGGGGATAAAGTACGAGGTGGGACCGCCCACTCTTTGCTGCCTGAAAGTCGCCTTTCTAGACCCGACGTCCGGCAAAATGAGCGGAGATTCCTTCTCACTCAAGTAAGTCTGTACGACGCGGGCCGGGGCGCAGGAGGAGGAATCGGCCGGGAATACAAACGTTGAAAGGTTTTTAACGTGCGCCATCGGAAGCTGATGGGTCACATGGGCCTGCTTGAGATCCCTGTAAGGCCGACCCTGGCAGAGGGGAGATTGGGGAGGATTCTCGCTCTGCATGATTGGAAATGTCCAAGGTGCATTGTGGGGGCTCAGTCGCGGCTTTCTCCATCTTTTTATTTTGCAGCGATTGTTCTTCTTCGACATTATTGGGGTTCTTTGTGACTCTTAATCCTCGTTCACACCTGAACGTTTTGTAGCGCGTTCTACGCTCGACGAACGCTCTACAAAACGCTCAAACATCTAAATCCCATTGTATTCAATGGGTCTGGTTCACACCTCGGCGTATTGCATATGCGCGTCGGTCGCGCGGTTTTTTAACGCGCGTTTCCGAGGGCTACTTGGCTGTATCCCAATGGAAACGCGCAACCAAAACGGCCCAAAGTAGTACCTGGACCTTTTCAGGCGTGGGCCGTTTTGTAGCGCGTTGGGGACGGGCGGAAATACGCCGAGGTGGGAACGAGACCCATTGAATACAACGGGATTTTCATGTTTGAGCGTTTTGTAGAGCGTTCGTAGAGCGTAGAATGCGCTACAAAACGTACAGGTGTGAACCAGGCCTAAATCCTTCTTCTTTTTCTCTCCCAGGTACCACGACATGCCCGATGTCATCGATTTTCTCATCCTATATCAGTTTTATAAGGAGGCGCAGGAACGGAATTGGCAGATCGGTAGGTGAAATTCTGTTGTTGCCCCATCTGGAGCAGGGACGTGCGGTCAGGGAGGGGCGGAGCCTCACCTAATATTATGCAGGAAAAGGCTGTCGGCATCAAGTCTGAAGCTGACAGCTTTTTCTCCATTGAGAGCGGCTTGTTACAGGTTACACAGCAAGGAAATCCTCCCCTCCCCCCGCTGTGTGACCTTTCATGGACGGAGCGCTGTGTGACCTCTCATGGACGGAGCGTTGTGTGACCTGTCATGGACGGAGCGCTGTGTGACCTGTCATGGACGGAGCGCTGTGTGACCTGTCATGGACGGAGCGCTGTGTGACCTGTCATGGACGGAGCG